CGGCGCCTTCATAGGGAGAATGGTGGTTGTCAGGGACTGCGGGCGGGGGTGAGGAGTTTGTGTTTAATGGGGACAGACTTTCAGTCTCACAAGATGAAAGGCTTTGGAGAGGGTGGTGATGGGAGCACAGTGTGAACGCACTTAACTGGGCTGTGCACCTGAAAATGGGTAACACTCCCTACCGCTCATGAGTCTTCTCGTGTTTCACGCGCCATCTGTTATGGACCTTAGATGTCCACACGGTGTCTTGTCCACGTCGAATGAAGCGCTCTCATTGGTGGAAACTGTGCAGGTCAATCTGCGAAAAACTATATAATTGCACAAACCCATAAAGCATTGCAGTTACACNAACCCATAAAGCATTGCAGTTACATTGTATTTTGGTCATTCGAGTAGTCTTCGTCTTCAAGTTCCTGGCGCTTAAAAATGCCCTCTCTCAGAAAAAGGAAGGAAACCAACAAAACTGATACACTTCCGGAAGTATTTAACAATAATTTATCAGATATTCCTAGTGAGATCGAAGATGTGGATGACTGTTTTGACGATTCCGGAGCCGATTCTACTGACCCTACTGACAGTGAAATTGTTAGACCTGTAAGGAAGCACAAGGTGGCGGTGCTTTCAAGTGATTCCAACACTGAGGAAGCTACTGATAATTGTTGGTCTGAAATTGACACACCACCATGCTTACAAATGTTTGAAGGTCATGCTGGGGTCACTACATTTCCATCTCAGTGTGACTCTGTACCCTCTGTGACCAATCTCTTTTTTGGTGATGAATTGAGATGTTGTGCAAAGAGCTGTCCAACTATCAAGATCAAACCGCAATGAAACACAAAACACCATCTAGAACACAAAAGTGGTCTCCGGTTACACAGAAATCCATCAAAAAATTCCTTGGCCTAATTATTCTGATGGGTCAAACAAGAAAAGATAGCTTGAAAGACTATTGTGCAACAGATCCTTTGATATGTACCCCTATATTTCCACAGACAATGAGTCGCCATAGATTTGAGCAAATATGGGCATTCTGGCATTTCAGTGATAACGCCAAAATGGACAGTCGCTCGGGGAGACTTTCCAAGATCCAACCTGTGCTGGATTATTTCCTGCATAAATTTCGAACAATATACAAACCAAAGCAACAGTTGTCTTTGGACGAGGGAATGATTCCATGGAGAGGACGTTTAAAATTTTGCACGTACAACCCAGTGGAATTAACAAAATATGGTTTACTTGTTCAGATGGTGTGCAAGAGTGACACCGGCTATATCTGCAATATGGAGATATACACTGCTGAAGGAAAGAATTGCAAGAAACTGTCCTTTCAGTCCTTGTACCCTATCTTGGCATATGGCACCATATTTAGCAGGATAATTATTGCAATGCTACATCTACTGCTGAATTGCTGCTACAGAACAAAACTAGAGTCTGTGGGACTATTAGGGAGAGTAGAGGTTTACCGCCAAATTTGAAAATGAAAACATCAAGAATGAAGAAAGGTGACATAATATTTTCCAGAAAAGGCGATATTCTTCTCCTAGCATGGAAAGACAAGCGGGTTGTCGGGATGATATCAGCGATCCATGACACTTCTGTCTTGACAACAGGAAAAAAAATAGAAAAACGGGAGAGAATATGGTAAACCCTACCTGCATCAAGGAATACAATGCCCACATGAAAGGCGTTGACCGTGCAGCTCACTTCCTTTCGTGTAGTTCTAAGGAAAATGATGAAATGGACAAAAAAAGTAGTGCTGTACCTTACAAACTGTGGACTTTTCAATTCATTTAGAGTGTACAATGTCTTCAATCCACAAGCAAAAATGAAGTATAAACAGTTTCTGCTATCAGTGGTGAGAGACTGGATGACAATAACGAAGGCTGTCTGGAACCAGAGACAAATCTGTCCAGCCCTTCCCCTGGGGGTGCAAGGGGAGCACCTCGTAAAGATCCACCAAAAAGATTGTCAGGTGATATGAAGCAGCATGAACCTATGTGTATTCCAGCGAGTGGAAAGAAAAAATTTCCTACGAGAGCCTGCAGAGTTTGTGCCGCCCATGGAAAAAGGAGCGAATCTAGATACTTATGTAAATTTTGTTTGGTCCCTCTTCATCGAGGAAAATGTTTTACGCAGTACCATACGTTAAAAAAGTACTAGGAACTTTGTTTTTGTAAATAAAAATGTTATAATTATTGAAAAACAACACCTAAAGTGCATTATGATCTGTAGTTATGATGATTTAAATAATGTGCAGTTTGCCCAAAAACGTGCGGTCCCTGGCATATGTCTTAGAGATTTCTGTGCGGTACGCAATGTGTTAAGATGGTAAACTTGTTATGTGTACTTCACCACATTAAACTCTTTTCTTCAAGACCATATGATTCAAGCTTTATAAAGGCTATAAGCATCTGGACTTGGAGATTCGGTGGAGAAAAGCAACATCCCTTTAATTCTGATGACCATTTCGCCTTAACTGGAAATGGCTGGCAGATCTGTGGCTGGTTAGTCTTGGCTTGAGTTTTTCAAGATGACTGCAGCTTCCTTGCATGTTACATGGCTTCTCCTCTGAGACCTGCAGTGCTGCTAAGTGTTGCAGCCATGAGAAGTCCTGTTACCTGCAGGGTTCTCACTGGTCCATTGGGATTTCTTGAGCAGTAAAGGCAGGCTTGACCTAATATGGCAATGCAAAAATATTTATATTCTTTCAACAAAAATCAAATTTCCTGAATAGAAAGATTTGTATTTCAGCTGACTACTGTCATTTGAATTTCACAAATCTTTGGTGGGACATTTCCTTATCTTTTCCTGAAATGTTGATTGGGGTTTCTTGTCAGAGATGATGATTAAAAATAATTATCTACAATTTTAACATATTATCCTACTGGTAAGCAAAGCGGTAGCACGGTGAGGCTTTAGGTTATTGGTGTCACAATTTAAAGTATACACTTGAGTATGTAGTTTAAAAAATTACTACTTTTGTGCCAGGCACCTTATGATGCATTATCTTCTCTTAGTCTTCTCACCAATCTTACGTACTTTGCCCTCTCTATAGGTGAGGAAACAGGCTGAGAGAGGTGAGGAAGCAGGCCTTAGGCACACAGCTGAACAGTGGCAGAGGGGGGTTAAGTCTGCTTGATTTCAGAACCCTGCACGTGGATTACACATGATAATTCAGTGCAGCAGCATAGCCCTTCAATGATTTTTGTGACCAGAAGAAACACCTATTTTTATTTATATTAGTATAATTAGAAAAACTGTTAGCTATAGATAACATTAAAATGTTTGGGAAAATACTATTTAAAACATTTTGTAAGAAACTACTTTCATTTTTTTACTTTAAAAAATATTTTTAATGATCTATAACAGAGAGAGGAAGGGAGTAGAAAGAAACATCAGTGTGAGAGTGAAACATCGACAGGCTGCCTCCTGCATGCTCCCCACTGGGGACGGAGCCCGCAAGCGGGGCATGTACCCTGACCAGGAATCAAATCCGCAACCTTCTGGTGCAAGGGATGGTGCCCAACCAACGGAGCCACACTGGCCAGGGCAAACTTTTTGTATTTTTAAAGAACTAACTTCACATTCTGGACCCAAAGCAAAGATTATGACGATAGCAATAAGTGGGCAATCCACCAAGCAAGCCTGAACGGGAAGGGGTTCCTATTTGCCAGCGGTAACCTTAGGCCCTAAAGTTCTGTTTGGAACCAAGTAGGGATACTCTTCTTTCTCATTTTGTAGTCACCTCACTTCGTTGGTTTCTGCTGAAGACTCGTGGTTTTTGTGGTGCTTGGGCCTTGCACTGAAACTCCTCCAGTGCAATTTGACCTTTCAGCCCAGGTTTAGCGTGTGGACGGAAGGAACGGCCCGAGCCGTGTCTCAAGGATGGCAGTGCTGCAGGCTCTCAGGGCAGCGAGCTCCCATCCTGATTCAAAATGCTCTGTCCAGAAGCATCTCCTCCTTTTCCCACCAGCCTCCTCTCTCCTGCCAACAGCAGGCAGTGAGAGGATGATTATGCATCGGAGCCGCCAACCTCCATGGGTAAAGTCCCAGTGAGAACCCTAAACTCTCGTTTATACAAGCACACATCATTTCAATGGCTTATATTTAAGGTACAAAATTTTATTTTTAGAAAGTCAAAAACACTGTCCATTTTTGCTTCTTATCATTGATCATTTGATCTCTATCGAAGCTGAAGATTTTAGAACATGATACCGTTAAGACAGAGGTACAAGGGATACATTTAGAAAAGACCTCACCCAGCCCACTAGCAAAGCCTGGGACCTGCCCCACTCGTTTCCTTTTGGTGTTTGTGATCAATGCTGTATGGCAGTGAAGTAGTGAGCCTACGTATGTGTGATAAGAAAACAGGTTCATAACTTTATAACAGGATCTTCTCAATGGGGGCGATTTTGCCCTTCCAGGGAACATCTGGCACTGTCTAGAGACATCTGTGTCACAACTGGGGATGGGAGGAGGGGGAGAACAGGGCTATTGGCGTCTAGTGAGTAGAGGGCAGAATTGTTTCCAAACATCCTACAATGCACAGCACAGTCCCCTACAACAAAGAATTATCCAGCCCTAGAAGCCAGTAGTGCTGAGATGGAGAAATCCTGTTTTACAGCCCCACTTC